GCCTTCGCTCTGAGATCCCTCAGTCCCTTCCATGCTTCTGTATCTCTGGATCTATTTTGTTCATCAGTTTATTTTGTTTATTACATTCCACATATGAGTGAGATTTTTGTGATATTTGTCTTTCTCTGGCTCATTTTGCTTAGCATAATTCTCTCCAGTTCCATCCATGCTGTCCCATAGGATAAGGGATCCTTCCTCTTTACAGCTGCATAGTATTCCATGGTGTAAATGTGCCACAGCTGAGGGGCACTTGGGCTGTTTCCAGATCTTAGCTACTGTCAATTGCGCTGCTACGAACATAGGGGTGCATAAGTTCTTTGCTATTGGTGTTTCAGGTTCCTTAGGATATATTCCTAGAAGTGGGGTCACTGGGTCAAATGGCAGGTCAATTTTTAATATTTTGAGGAAATTCCATACTGCTTTCCATAGTGGCTGCCCCAGTCTGCATTCCCACCAGCAGTGTACTACATGCCCTTTTCTCCACACCCTCGCCAGCACTTGTCGGGTTTTTCTGTTTGTTTTTTAATGTTTTTATTGATTTCAGAGGGAGAGAGAGAGAGAAACATCAATGATGAGAGAGTCATTGATCGGCTGCCTCCTGCACGCCCCCTACTGGGGATCCAGCCTGTACCCCGGGCATGTGCCCTGACGAGGAATCGAACTGTGATCTGGTTCATAGGTTGATGCTCAACCACTGAGCCATGCCGGCTCGGCTTTACCTGCCATTCTTGTTAATAAATTTTTTTATTACCATCAGATTTAACTACATTTTGTTATAAAAGGATGAGAAACTTGTGAGGATTAGTCCCAGCTCCCTTAACAGCTTATGGGAATTTGAACAAGCTGCTTGGGTTCTTCTCTTCTAAGCAGTAAGAGAAGCAGATTAAATCTCTGACTTCAGTTTTTCTTATGTATCTTCTCTTATATGGGTTTAAAAAAGTGAACCACCTTTATTCTTTCCTATTTAGTGGTATTTTAATTATATGTGGGTTTCAAATCTTCTAATATAATACTGCCATACTTTTATAAACTAGTTTAATAAGAAAAAATTTAGGAATGTTACGGACCTAATTAAGCACAATTAGGAAAGTTCAACCCTGCTGCGTGTACCACTGGAAATTCAAGTTGTTCTTGGCGTTAAGATGATAGTAGCACCTGTCTTTTTAAGATGGCTGTGGGAATTCAGTAAGGATAAGTATATTAAGGCCTTCATGAGCAATTAACTATGGAAAACCTTGTTTTCCATCACTTTAAACTATTGAATAGTTGGGAAAAACCTGAAATAGATGATCTCTAAAGTAGCTCCTTGCTATGAAAGCCTGATTCCAGGTAGATTATAACTAAGTTGTCATTTCAGGAATACCATTTCTGATGTTAAGTAGTCATAAAATATTGATGGGTCATTAGAGGGGGGTGGTACATTGAAATTATGTTCTAATTATAGTGTAATTGTTGATAAGCTAAATTTGTGAAATTAATATCGGCCTTGAGCCCCCAAGTTTTATAGGTGAAGTCTTTGATTTAACTTTTAGATTAGGTTAAAGAATTTAACACGTCTAAAGTATAGTGGAATCTTAACTTCAAAATACAACGGACTCAGAATCCACTGTAAAATTTAACACGTCATATTAAGCATTTGTTGTACACTGTTTAATGTAATTCTAAACAGTGCTTGCGTTCAGTCATAACCCAGTCTAGGAAAGTTACATCAGATATTTCTCCTCGTGGTTTAGCATTTTAGACAGTTTCTGCACTGAAAAACATGAAGCTCATGAGTCATCTCTGCTTGTTTCACAGATACTTGGATGATATTGATGATGAGATGGACCCAGAGATAGAAGAAGCCTATGAAAAGTTTTGTTTGGAATCAGAGCGTAAGCGAAAACAGTGAAGTTAAATTTCAGCGTATCAGTTTTATAAAGCAGTTTAGGTTATGGTGATTAGCAGAACACAGGAAAGCAAGAAAATGTGTCACACTTATACCAAATTAAGGATGTTGAGTTATGTTACTAATGTATGCAACTTTAATTTTGTTTAACACTCTCTGCCAAAATAAACTTTATTCCCTATAACTTAAAATGTGTATATATATAAAATAGTTTATTATGTACAGTTAATTCCACTGTTTTGGCTGCAATAAAATCGATTTTGAAATAAATGAAATGTTGAAAGTAAATTTTGCTAGCTGGTTAGAAGCTTATTCTTTAAATTCAGCTTTTCTTGAGGGAAAAAGTCTTAGTCTGGAAATACATATAACTGCAAAAATGTAGCATCCTTTATTTAGATATGAGTATATGACTTTCATTTAGTTTTACATTTAATGTCTCATTGAACTGGATTTCAAATATGAGTCACAATCATAAAAACCTCTGGCACTAAAGTCTCAGAATGTATTATTAACTGACTTACATATCCGGGTGTTATTTGATACCAAGGGCTTTTAAACTGTCATTTAAAATAAAGAGTTAGAACTTCCCACTAAACAACCAAGATTCTTCACTGAGGATATATTGCAATTCCGAATTGTTCAATTTTTTCACCTAATGTCATTACCCAAAAGCCTATGACATTATCCTGCTTTATTTATACGGCTTTCTCATTTTTATTTGGTAGCATGAGTTGCATTGACTTTTTTACTAGAGAATTTTGCTAGATCTTTGTCACTCGAGTTTTCATCGGCTTTATAATTGATACACCTTGAGGATCACTTTTCTAATACTTTTACTATAATGTGGTACTGCCTCAGTCCTATTTTTACCTAATGTCAAAAATCTTTTCCAACTAACTAAAAGTAAAGCTTATGTACAAAAAGATTGCCTGTAAATATGCATGTAAATAGTTCTGTTAATAACCCACTGTTTTACATTTGGTACACCTGTGTCTGCTTCTGCAGTTAGCTTTCCCACCTCTCTGCTTGTTTGTTCAGTCTGGATTAAAATTAGACTTTGAAAATAAATTGAAATAGTTTTGTTTTCTCTTAAGTTTTTAGAGTGGTATCCTGGTATTTTACAGAATTTGTGTTGAACTTTATGACATCATAAAACTATGGTTTGAAATCAGAGAAATTATACTAGGCTAGACAATACTCTATTCACTGTCTGTTGACTAAGAAGTTAGTTCAATAACAAGTCTAGTTGGAAAAAGTAACATGTGAAACATTAAAACTTTCAGAGGCTTCATTGTAAAAGAGAAGTATACAGGGTGGAGCAAAGTTTACAGTTGTCATATGGAAAATAATACAGTAATTAATAAACAATAATACGAGAATAAACTCGAGTACTCACAACTATAAACCTATTTTTGCCCCACCCTGTATGTGCAGCTGGGGTTTTGGAAATTGTAAAACTAGCCAGAACTTTTTTTCAAGGTGGCTCCTGTAACATGGTGGCTGTTACCTTAATCTGCAGTTCTCTAAAGATTGTGCTCACTGTGTCTCTCAGGGGCAGGACAGTAGACTAGGGGCCAAGTATATGCTAGCCTGTAGCATTTGCTCTGTGAATAACATCCAGTCTTGTCCACAAGCTCATTGTCACCTACTAGGCCTGCTTGACTCATAACAGCCTCCAACAGGGTCCGTGTATGTTCCAGTTACCCGTGCTGCTTAAAAAACCACCCAAACTTAGTGTCTTCATACAATACGCATTTTATTACACTCATGGGTCCTATGGCTCAGGAATTTGGACAGGGCACAATAGGGGCGGTTTTTCTCTATTCTACAATGTCTGAGGCCTCCGCTGGGAAAACGGCTGGAGGCTGTCTGAACAGCTGGGGATGAATCCTCTGAAGTCTTTGCCCACATGGCTGACGACTAGAGGTGACTTGAAGGCATCACTTCTCAGCGTGACAGCTGGATGGGGCGGGGGAGGGGGGCATTCCAGAAGCTGCGACAGCATTACTGCCATTGTAGTCTCTTTCCAGGTGCTAAGGCCACATCAAACAGGAGGCCGTCAGGGATGTGTGGCCACGCTTTAACACTGCAACAGCACATAGAGGAAAACAGGTCCTGGGCTACAATTGTCGCCCTTTAGGATTGTCATGCCTGTTACAGAAATAGGGGTAAGTCCTGTCAGTATTACTAGTGCAGTTCTCCAGTGAGCAAGGACACAAAGGTGCCAGCGAATGCCACAGTCTTCTGGCAATAAAGTGCAGATGTTGGTCTGAACCTGGCAGTCATGTCATCAACTTGGTCTTTGTGCTTCCAGTGCTCCTCTTACATCCCCCCTCCCTGACGGCACTGCCACCTACCCACTTCCACCAACCAGGAAGCCCACCACTGTTAACTCCCACCCTCCCCCTCAGACTCCCACATTCAGTCATTGCCAAGAGTATATAGTTGACCTACACATTCTTGGAGCTGTGCTCTCCATCTGCCAGTCTGAACTGCCATCTCGTCGTTCAAAAACCTTGTGTTGGGTTCCCAGATACGCTCTGGCAGCCTACAATCCGTTCTCCACCCAGCAGTTCCAGGAATACTCAAGTANCGTTCAAAAACCTTGTGTTGGGTTCCCAGATACGCGCTGGCAGCCTACAATCCGTTCTCCACCCAGCAGTTCCAGGAATACTCAAGTACAAACAGCATCACAAAACCCCTCAGTTGTAAACAGAACTTAGGTATGGAGGCTCTTAGACACTGGTGAGGGGCAGGATCTAAGCACGTGGAATACAAACCGATGTACAAGCTGATGTCACAGCTCACTGAAAAAAGGCTCTTCTACGGATGCTCTTGTTACACTTCACAAGATACTGAGGTCAATTTGCACATCAGACTTTAAAATGGAGATGAATTGAAGGAGTTCGATTTCTCCCCATCCCTGGATGCTGCCACCTTTGGTCAAAGCTCTGTAATAGTTTACCATTGCTTTTAAGATAAAGTTTGTAATTTGTAAACTCACAATGGTCCTGCCCCGACCTACTTCACAGCCTCGTTCAGGCCCTAACAGCCTCTCTTCCCAGCGATCATTCTTAAACCAAACTGGTTTCCTGACCCCTGCGTGAAACACTTGCCCTCCCTGGCTGACACCCTCGTACCTAACTTTGCCTTCGGTGGAGACAGTTCCTCAGCCCAGGGTGGGTTCACCCGCCGTCTGCGGTCACAGACCTGTGTCCTGTTTCAGGGACGCTTAGGACAACTCGATCGTGACCGTCTCGCAGTCTCCCCGGGTTCCTCCCGGTGCCTCCCTCCTCCCGGGTCTCCTCCCCGGCGGTCCGCCCACCGGCCTGCACGTAGCAGGCGCTCCCTAAACGCCTGTTGAACTGCAGCGAGCAAAGAGCCGTCAAGTCTCTTTGCTACTTGAGAAAAAGGTGCAGATACGCAGCTGGAACACAAGTTTCCTGACCCCAGGCCAGGAGAAGAAAAGGGCTCTATCTTGGGTCAAGTTCAACACCTTCACCGAGGTGGCCCGTCGTGCAGGCGACTCCGACGAGCGTCTCGGCACCGAGGGGGCTGGGCCGTCAGGACGCTCGTCCCCACGAGCTTCCGCACAGCCAGACCCGAGTGGTTCCGCGGGGGACCGGAAGTAAACGCCGACGAGGGGCGGACCGGATTCTGCACCGGGACCCCGCCGCTACACACCGCGTTCCCCCACTTCCGGCCCCGCCCTTCGCTGGAAACGTGAGGGGCGTGGTTTCCGAGCGGAGGGCGCGTCCGGGGGCGGGACTTCCGGCCTCCCCGTTTCCGGAGAGGGAAGTGGCGCCCGAGGGGCGGGAAGGTTTGAGTCGCTGTTTGCGTCCCTGCTGTTCGCGTGTTTTCTCTCCGGGGTCACCGCCGGCCGGACCTGAGGGACGCCGCGGCCAAAACACTCTCCCCGTGGCCTTGTGGCCCTGCGCTTGTGATTGCTTGCTTTCCTCGAGAAACATCACGTGTTGGTAATTTGTTCAATTTAAGAAAAATCCCCCGAGGAGCGGTGGCGGGGAGGCGCGCCCCGGGGCCCGGAGCTGGTAAGCGGCGGCGGTGAAGGGAGCCGGCCCTGCAGCGGCTCCCGGCGCAGCTGTGTGGAGAGCCCGGGCGAGGGCGAGGGGACCGGCGAGCGGCTGAGCGGCCCGCTCGGTGACCTACCATTTCCCCTAGTGCCGGGCTAGGGGCCGGGCTCCAGGTGCGAATTCCTCCCTGTAGGCCGAGGAGTTGCTTTTGGCCTGCCTTCTGCGCGTCTTACAAATGACTTGCTCTTTTCTCCTGCAGAGGCGGGGTGTGCTTGTTATTGGAAATGAGATACTGAGCCTACAATTTTTTGAAATTGAGTTTAGGAGAAGCTGCTGGAGTTATAAAGGCAGTTATAACGCGGCGGGCCGTCTTCTCCCTCTAGCTTATGCTTGCTCCCTAGAGTGAAGCCTTGGGGTGTTCATTTCAAATCCTTCGTGTGTGGTAAATGATAAGCACTAAGATAATCTCTTTCCTCCAAAAAAAGTAAAGGCAATGGCAACTCCTTAGAAAACGCATCAGCTTATTTGGTAGAACTTTGGAGAAGTATTTGTGCTGCCGTTTCCTGTTTCCCTGTCTGCCTAGGGAGGGCGTTTTATCCGCGGTCATAATGACGGCGCCTGAAGTGCGCATGGTGCTTTACGAAGACGACTCGGTGCAAGTGCACTACGTGGACGGTTCCAGGCTGCAGCTCTCTCCCTGTGGCTCCGAATTTTTATTTGAAAAGGCCCCTCCTGTTTCAGCGCATCCTTTGGAACAACCGGAAAGAATTCGCCAGAGGACACACTTTGTTATTAGCACTTACCGAGTAAGTAAAGATGACACAAACACTGCTCTTTTTAATACCAAAATGTTGTCAAGGTGGCCAGAATATGGAAAGTAACTAGGACACTGGATTACTGTCATATTAAATGGGTTTCTGATCATTTTTTAAGATTACATTTGTATCTTTTTGTAGGAGCAACTACAGCGAGCCCTTGATTTTCGAAACTGTTTTGCCACTTGCCCTTTTTTGTCTGAAAGCATTATACCTTCTGAAAGAAAAAAGGTAATTTTTAAACCTTATTTTTGTAAGATTTGTGGACAAGTAATTAAAAATAGGTTAGTTGAATATTTAGTCTTTTCCTGACGCTTGGGATAGACACGTTGCTGTAGAATGAATGCATAAGCCCTTATATTTTACCAGACTAGCGGGTTTTCGTGTTTTGTNCTTCATGACGCTTGGGAATAGACACGTTGCTGTAGAATGAATGCATAAGCCCTTATATTTTACCAGACTAGCGGGTTTTCGTGTTTTGTATATTGATTGCGACACAGAAGTTACATAATTCATTACCCTGTCTTTCTCTTTGTAGCCAAGGATTACATACAGAGCTTTTCAGATCGGTGATTTTTTGATTCNGCAGAGCTTTTCAGATCGGTGACTTTTTGATTCTTGGAGGTGTGAAAATTAAGAAATTATGTGGACATTTTTAGTAGCTTATGTATAGTTATCTGTTAATGTGTAATAGAGATATGTAATTACTTATGGGTGTACAAATTTTATTCTTTTGCTTACACTCTATTTTGAACTTTTGGGAATAATAATGTCATTTATTGAGGGTTTACTATGTGCCAAGAACTGGGAGTGATATTAAAAATAGTTAATAGCACCAGTATGCCTTGAGTACCTGCTGATCAAACTGGGTGTCCAACCAGTCAGAANAATTATTTATGGGTGTACAAATTTTATTCTTTTGCTTACACTCTATTTTGAACTTTTGGGAATAATAATGTCATTTATTGGGGGTTTACTATGTGCCAAGAACTGGGAGTGATATTAAAAATAGTTAATAGCACCAGTATGCCTTGAGTACCTGCTGATCAAACTGGGTGTCCAACCAGTCAGAAAAGGTATATTGACTTGATATCAGCTCCTTTTTACAGATGAGAGGATTAGGTCTCAGAGAGTTTACCTAACTTGTCCATAGAACTTTTCTTAGTGGCCAAGTCAGGATTTGAACCCAGTCTGTCTGACTCTGAAGACCGTCTATCAACCACTTTCTGCTACTGTCACAATGTTTGCCTGCCTATGAGTGGTTTTCTATTACATTGTCTCATGACAGAGAAGCCGTGAAGAACTGTAAGCTGTAGCTTGGTCTACAAGGCTGTTTTCCCACTGTATCTTCTGAGTAATTTTATTCATTGAAATCATGTCTCTTGCTGCTGATCCTGCAGTGGGATTATCAGGTGGTCTAATTCTAGGCGAGCGGAACTTCTGACCTGATAATCCTTACAAACCAACTTTGCCATCAGTGAATACTGCCCTTGATTTTTGTGTACTAACAGCACTATAGATGTAAGAGGCTTTCTTGACATGATTTTTGTAAACTTAAAGTTTTATATAAATAGAAGTTGAAATGTTTAGCTATTGGCAAGATTAACTGATTAAAAGACTGTTATGTGACACCTGCTGTTTTTATCGTACATGAAAGGATGCATTGGGCACTGTTACCTGTTATAAGTATGTTTTCTGTTAGTCAGCATCCATTTTCCTTTGAGTAACTCCGTTTTTAAAATGTTACCCTTTAAGTCANCATCCATTTTCCTTTGAGTAACTGCGTTTTTAAAATGTTACCCTTTAAGTCACCTGGAATTTATTTTAGCTTATGGTGTACCAGGTGTTGTCTAGGACAGGTACTTTAGTCTGGGTCATAACCTTTTGAGATAACATTTCCCAGGTGCTTTTCAATAATTCAGTACCATTTGTCAAATAATTCTCCCTTCCCCCCTTGTTTTGAAGAACTTACACTATCACATGTGACATTTAAAGATATGATGAGTCTGTCTTGTATTCTATGAGTTGCTCTGTCAATGACTTCTGTGCTAGTTCATACCACTTAAGTTATGGTTGCTTTTTCTATTTTGTTTTGTTTTTTAACCCTCACACGAGGATATTTTTTCCATTGCTTTTCAGAGAGAGTGGAAGGGAGAGAGAAAGAGAGAAACATCCATGTGACAGAGACACACTGATTGGTTGCCTCCCACACGAACCCCGACCAGGGCTGGGGATCAAGCCTGCAACTGAGGTATGTGCCCTTGGCTGGAATCGAACCTGGGACCCTTCAGTTCGTGGGCCCACGCTCTCACCACTGAGCAAAACCGGCCAGGGCTGTGGTTGCTTTTAACATAGTACATGACAGTGCTATAGTCATTTATAGTCCTTTTGAGAGTAGGCTTTTAAGAGGCCCTCAAAAATCTATCTATCTCTGATTCAGTGTACATTTTAAAAATATGTCTAACACTAAACATAATCAGGATGACTTTTTTTTAATTTTTTTTTTTGGTCAGTGTATGTATGTTTTACCTCTCTAAAGAGATAATCGTAATATCAAATATTCTGTGGAAAACCATATATTAGCTGACACCTGGCTCTCCTTTTTCATTCTCTCTAGGTAGTAAAACACAAAACTTTAAGGGCGTCCTTACACAATATGTAAGAATAAATGTATGGGAAAATTGGTCTATTAACAGAAAATACTGACCATCTTTTTTCTCCCCTCAACTCAGCGCATCCTCATAGACGTCTCAGAAGTAAGGTGGCCCAGCCTGGAGACTGATGACGGCATAATGGTCATGCAGAGTGGCACCGTGAAGATAGCGTCTTTAGACGGTCATGCATACCTTTGCCTGCCCAAGTCTCAGCAGGAATTTTCAGTACATTTTTTGTGTAAAGTAAGCCAGAAGCCAGACTCATCTATAGTATTGTCAGAAAAAAATAGTCAAGCCAAAAAAGAGCAACTAGTTGAAAAAGCAGGCAAGACCCTTACATACAGAAGTTTACAGGAACAGAGACTGAAAAATAAAGAAAATGAACTTCGCTGTCAGATCGTGAAGTCCAGAGCGCCCTCAGAGAAGCACTGTGCAAGTGGAACTGAGGGCCAGGAGGTGCTGCCTTCGCCCGGTACGAAGCACAGCTGTGTCCACGTGTGGGTAGAGCAGCGCTGGTCCGTGGCCTCCTGTCCGGAGGAATGGAAACACCCTCTGTCTTTAGCACTTCGCTTTCATAATAAAATCAGCAGTATGTCTGGAACTGATGTAAACATCACCCAGAATACAATGTTAACTTCTGCTGTTTCAGAAGAAACAGGGAAAGAGGTTTCTGTCCTTCCCAGGGCCTTGCTCCTCAGCTGTCCTGTCCCACACCTGCACAGGTAATGAAGGATGACTCATTTGTCATAAAGCTTCTGTCAGAACCAGTCCTCATACAGATAATGTCTTTCTAAATCATCTGATACCATTCATAAGGAAAGTTCCTTGTTAATCCAAACTTTGTTTAGAACTGATAGTAAATAATTTGCCTTGCAGATGCGTTATGTTTCTTACCTCTGTCCATGGAATGAATGTTTATGGAAGGCCGACTGTACTTTGTTAAGCACAGAGACTACAGAGATGACCAAGACACAGTTCCTGCTTTCTAGGAGCTTAGAGTCTAGTGAGGGTCACTGTCGCTGAAAAAATTATTAAAGTGTGGTAAGGGATGGTCCAGGGACCTGCAGGGGAGCTGTGGGAGCATCTGCTGCCACTCTGGAGCTGTTACCTTTGTTGCTGGAGTGTAGATCTGACAAGTTGATGATCATGGGTTCTTTCTTTCCTACTTGGCCTCAGAGGCCATACCTGTCTTTGGTTGATTGTAAATATGTCCATTGTCAAGAGAGGTAAACATGGAGAGGCTCTGATGGCTAGGTAAAAACCTTTTACCTCCACTAAGAGATGAATAACCTAATGGTGATAGATTTGTGATAGGCACTTTGTGTAAGTAGTGCAGTGATAATGGTAATAGCTAACACCAAGCAGTCACCATGTGCCAGGCATGGTTGTGCTTTACCTGTTTCATCCCCATGGTAGCCCTAGGAGATCAGTACTATCTCTTATCCCATTTTATGGAGGAACTTGAGACACAGAAATGTTCAATAACCTGAGCAGAGTCGCACAGCAAGTACTTGCAGAATGAGGATTTGATCCCAGGTGGTCTGAGTACATATTTGTTTAAATAAAATATGGGAATGGTTTTCAGGTTTGTCATGATTATCTAGGTAAGGTAGGAGAATCCAGTGTTATAAGTGCATCAAAAGAGACTAATGCTTCTAAGTCAACAATTCCTCAATAACTTGCCACTGGCTTTAGATTGAAATCCATTATCCTTGAACATGGCTTAACAGGCCTTCCATTTCCTGGTCCTTCCATGTCTGCAGTCCTCCACTCTCCCCGCTCCACTCCTGCAGGGCCCGGAGAGCTCGCTCAGACTATCTTTAGTCACTGCGCCTGCTCTTTCTTCTGCCAGGAGCACTCCTGCTAACCCACATTCACGTCCAGGCCTGCGAGCAAG